TTGTCAAACAGTGGATCTAGGCTTATATTCCAGTCAGTCAGGCTGATTTCTTTCTGGTCGTCTGTGAGATTACTTTATTGTTTGCCCCACAATTTTTAGCTAATACGAGTAGGACTCTTGTATAAGTGAGGCGCCAAAGATTCCTACACGGGAGAACTTGCCAAAGTACAAGATGCCTGACCTGGGGTCCACACTGCACTTTTAACCTCACCATAGTTAAAGCAAATTTAAAGAATTGGCCCCCTAGATACATGGAAATGGCACATGTGTGTGAAACTAGGCCCGGGTTCTCTGACGGGAGTCCTGCACCCCCTGGAACCCAATTGAAATCGCTTTTGTGGAATCTCGGCCTAGACCCCCACTGCCACCGCAGACAGATTTAGGTTTAAATTTTTGGGGGGAGGGGGTCAAAATTAAAAAAAAAAAAACGGGATCCTTCTCTGGGAAAATCCGGGTTCTTCCGGAAAAATTTTGATCTCTAGATTGTGGGAAATGAGTTTTTCCCTCTTGAAAAACTGTCAGGTGAATTTTTCTCATTCTTATTACAGTAAATAGGCCTATTATGTGTGTACCAGTATAAGTACATACAGAAAAAAATGAGTAGATGCATACTTATTCTTTTTTCCATGAATCGATGAACTCCAAAAAGAAAGGGGTTGGGATTATCCACCGGAAAATTTTAATTCATAGATGGATGGAAATGAGCTTTCCCAACTTCTAATTTTCCTAATGTAACAAAAACCATTTCAGCTCACGGGTCCTGAAAAGGTAGCTCTGTAATTTTTTTTTTGCCCACAGATCCGCCGGTGTGTCGTGAATATATTGTAGTATTAAAGGCTAACTTACTTTGTGCAGACATATGGTTGATAACAGCGTCAACGTAGATATGAACTCCTTTGTTGTTACAACGGGTAACCATATCTACGAACTCCGCCTCAGTGCCACTGCGGCTGCCAAGCTTGTAGCTGACCGGTTGGTAACGCTGCCACCACGGGTAACTCGGACTCGTTATAACGGCATGTTCGTTGGGCGGGGAAATTTGCACGCCTCCAAATCCATTTGGGCCCAGCCATCTATAAAGATATAGTTACTGTAATTCTGCAAGCGATTAATCGTGATGAAATAAATAAGTAAATATACAAATTAAGCAATCAAAATGTTGAATATTATCGATACTATTATCAATATCAATATTGTTTTATTAAAAATTGAATATTATTGTCTACCTTTCGCATTCATCCGCAATATCTGCCCACGTCCACTCGAACAGGTGGACAATTGCTTGTCCATTCGAAACCTGCGGATCCCATTGAGCAAGTGATAGCCCAATCAAAGCCCAAAAAGCTATCAGAAACTTCATATTTGATCTGCAAATCATATATATTATGATATATGTAGAGAGAAAAGAAAAAAATTTTCTTATGGTAATTTTGTATGTAAAATATAATATTAATAATGATAATAATAATAATAATAATAATAATAATAATAATAATAATAATAATAATAATAATAATAATAATAATAATAATAATAGTCAAAATAGCCATTAAAACTGTTTAATTATATATAAATAATCAAAGAAATGTAAGTACAGTGTTCGAATAAGGGACATGATGGTACATCGTGTAGCAGCTCTCTCTTAAATAAATACATTGCGTAATAATAATGTCTCCGACGGGATTCGCTGTCAAGGCGAGCGTCACAACCATTAGACCACAGAGGCTTTATAGTTGAACAGATTCAAATAACCGGCAGCTACCTTGTTTTACACAATGATGGTGCACCTCGAGAAGTACTGTATACCATGATAACAAATCATAATATACTGTAATAGAGATAAATCGTGTGGTTTGATTTATCAGAATGATGTTAAAAGTAGAAAATAGTGATTCAGTCGAACCAACTCTTCTCCCTCACATTGGTTTACGGGACTGGTGTGAATGGGCACGCCGACGGTAAAGTGCAAAAATAGTCTACACATTACTAGGCCACAAAACACATTCTATAAATCGGTTACCCAGGACGACAATATAAATGCCGACTCTGCGATTAGACGGCCGGCCGCCGTTTAGTAGAGATTTCAGAGGAGTGGAATCGAAGGCTAGTTACGGTACCGTACCCCTTGCTGGGTGCTTTTAGGATACGACACTGTATCTGTTGAATCTGAACGCATACATTATCTTACCTGAACGCTCTTCCTTCTAGAACTCAATCGATAGACAACGATACACAACCGACGAATGCAACTGCTTATAACACGAACATGGTTTTTAACTTTGTAATTGAGTATGTTTTCGTCTGCGATGAAAATGATTTTTCCCACAGATACGCTATCGTATAGTGAATATATAAATATATCAAATATATCAAAATGTTATTTGGGTTGTTATCATTTATATATTGAATTCAAAGTCATAATTAAAATTTCAACTTCAGTTATCATTATTTAAACAATAACAGTTTGTTGTATTGTTATTGCACAGGGGCCTAGGGTCTTTAACTTTCATATGTTATCATCGTCATTGATATAGCAAAGAAGACTTTCCCTGTTGATAGGAGGTATGCTATTGAGTTTTCTTATGCTGTGAGCGTTCCCGTTTTAACTTGGTAATTCTGGTATTAATAATTTAATTTCTATGTGTAAAATGTAAATGCAAAATAAATGAGCACACTATTAATAACACAACGATTTCCATAAACATGGGGTTCACCGATAAGTTTGACATAAGACAGTATGTGTTTAATGAACAAATAAAATAATACAGTATAGAATCAAACATGTCTGTATTAATCTCTTCGTAATAGCGTATTAAGTCCTATATTTTTCGAGAGAATTTTGATGATGACGATGATGATGATGATGATGATGATGATGATGATGATGACGACGACAACAAAGTTAAGGTTGACAATGGGCTAAAATATATGTTTCCATTCTGTAATTGGCAGGCTTCCCGTTGTTGGAATTTTCAACATATTCTGTCCATCGGTTCGTCATTTAACATTATATACCTACAAATGCCCGACGTCTGTGGAGTAACGAGGCCCCTGTACCCCAGGGACTAAAGTCGGATTGGATCCCATACAGGGTTAAAGCACGCACTGGCGGTTTTTTTTTTTTTTTTTTTTTTTTTTTTTTTTAAAGTCACGGTGTATTTAGATGTTTTACACATTCTGCTCAGTAAGCTATGCGCTCGGCCATTTCTTGGGGCCGATGATCACGGAAACATGCAGATTAATACTTCCGGTCCCCTTATAGACCGAGGCCCTTAAGCCTGTTTTCTACTAGGATAATTTATTAGCGCAAATCTAAAGTTTCTGTGCTCTTCTTGAGCTTTGATTGGTTGCCATTTTTGTGACAGTTCACTGTTGTCAATGCGCATGCGCTTGAACTGATTCTTTCGATTCGTGCGAACAGGGTTTATTTTATCCAGTGAGAGCTTACAGCTGTTACGTCACTGCTTCGATTTTGTCATTGGTCCATACTGTTTTTGCCAACCTCATCACTTTCTATCTTGAATGTTTTTTTTTAAATTTCTATGTGAAAGCCTGCATCTGTCATGATCTCCTCCGCTATGTATTGTTTATCAATGGTTATACCTACAGGGTTTATCTTACCAACTCATGTAATCAGTGTTTGTGTTACCCTTGACTATCGCTAAACTCATTTAGACATACTTATGTTATTAATAGACATATGGTCGAACATCACTGGCGGATCCAGGTGCAAGTGACAATCGAGAATGTATGGTCCTTAAGAAGACAGAACCTATATTATATTATAATATATTATATTATATTATATTATATTATATTATATTATATTATATTATATATAAATATATATTACATATATATATATGTATATATCTATATATATATATATTTATATAGTGTTTAATTATAATGATAATTAGGCCTTATCCTGTCTGCTGTACATGCGAAGACCCACTGACTTGTATCCCACAATGCAGTTAGCTGTAGGCGTACAAACTTCCGAGACTGGTGGCTGTTTTTATTTTTTGATGTATAAATTTCAGCCAATATCGTAAGTACTGTAATGGGATATTAGAATTGAGTTACTAGCTCCAAATTTTTGGAGTGATGGAGGTGATGGGAACTAGAGGTAATTAAACGATGTGGACAAAAATGTACATACATGTATATATGAAATGTGAAAAGACAGTAATAAAATACATCTCTGAGTTGTAGACATAATAATTTATTCAATTAAAAATACCGTATGTCAAACACGACCTTCAATATCGAACAAAAACAAGACATTTTAAAGAAGGCGGACAACGAAATTCAGTTCAGATGCTGAGTAACACGAGTGCATACTCAAATAGATTACAATAGAACATAAAGACTCCTTGTGAAGCTGAAGAATAAGATGTGATTGGTATATAGCTCCTACTGTATTTAAAAATAAATAGCAATTATTAAAGAATTCTGTTTTGGTACTCAGTATCAAAGAATTCATTCAATTTTTTCCATGGATTTGTGTTTGTGTGTGTGGTTATTGTTATTATAATATTATACGTCAATTTTTATATAGCAAACACAACATAAAAGGTTTAAAAAAGAGAAAATTTCACAAAGAAAGGTAAAATTTTTTTTTTATTAAAAAATTGATTTTTGCAATTTGTATTCCTTTTTAAAAATATAAAATTCATTAAGAAAATTCGTCAATTGTCTGTGTTTCCAAGTTGTACATGAACCTTAATTGGTAGGCTTATTTTTTATGGAATTGTTAGTAGAGAGCTAGTAACGCTACTGAATGTTCTTATTCACAACTCATGATCAGTTTTGTATCACAAAATGACAATTGGATGTGGAATATTAACAAAGAACCATTAAATTAATATATTTTTGTCAATAATCTTGATTGATTTGTTTTTTGTCAAATGCATTTACTTTTTTGCAATATTTGTTTGTATTCATCAATTGTAGTTCAAGAGTGATTATTTGAAAGAAGTATAACTTTAGTTTTGTCAGTTTTGATTAAACAAGTTTTGTTTTTGTGATTAAAAAAGTTTTGTTTTGTGATTAAAAAACGATCAAGCTTTTGGATGGTGATCTTATGATTATGGATGGCTGCGGTGATGGAGATGCTGATACTGATGATAATTATGATAGTGATATTGATAGTGATAGTGAAAGTAAACGTGAAGGTTGTAGAGTTAGCTGGTGACCAGAGGTGGCGCCAGGATAATATTAATAATAATGATGATGATGATGATGATGATGATGACGATGATGATGATGAAGAAGATGTTGATGATGATGATGATGATGATGATGATGACGATCATGACGACGCTGACGATGACGACGACGACGACGACGATAAATTATAAATGGTAAACAAAAAATAAAAATAATTACAATAGTAATAATATAAAATTAACAATGATGATGATGACCATATTAATAATAATATTAATAATAATAATAAATAATTATTAATAATAATAATAATACGGTAATAATAATACGGTAATAATAATAATAATAATAATAATATTAATAATAATAATAATAATAATAATAATAATAATAATAATAATAATTATTATTATTATTATTATTATTATTATTATTATTATTTCCCGACGGGATTGGGAATGTCTGATGTTGCCGAATGGGGCCGACTCTGAAACGAAACGTAAGTGAGTGTGGTCGGGTTTTGCTCAAAATCTCTTTTAAGCAATCAAGCGGGGGAACGCAATCTACAATAATTTAGGGGTTTCAAAGGCTTCTTTGAACGATTTTATTCATATGACAAAAAATATATATACTTTTTTCTTTTTACCGACGAATTTTCTTTTTCTGCCCGATGGGGTGGGGGCAGCCCCCTGTCCCACTGGCGCCACTTCCTGCTGGTGACGTCAACAGTTTAATGTTAATTGGAATGGATGTTTAAAGGCAGGTGTGAGTATATGAAGATGATATTTTGATGTTGGTGCCGAGGATGATGGTGGTGATTATGTTCTATAAAATAGACTACAAAATGTCACATCCTAGGCCCTATAACCCGTCGCTATAACCATTAAATTTGTAGGCGTAAAAAAGGGTTGGCTACCGTATCGAATACGATAACATATATGAAAATTTCACTTGAAATGTGATTACTAAAATAGAAACAATCACAAATCATATAAACCAGATACAGCAAGGGCAATTGTGTTACACAATTGATATGTACCAGTGTGTTGATTGACATTGTAATGATGAAATTTCGTTGTGCCTCATCCATCTGATTGGATTTTGTTGACAAAATGTTGATCTCATTATCGGATACGATATAACTTACGGTAGTAGAATAATTCTGCTGTGCTTGATTGGTTAAACATGTTCGAATTTAAAAAAAATTTATCAACGTAAAGTAAACGCGAAGATAACAGAATGTCATTACGCAAATTGGCATACAATATTTGCCAGCAACAAAATGATGCTTGACAATATCTGGAAAACTGTGTCTTTGTAACAAAGGGTACAGTTTAAAGGAGTTACTGAATCCGGCTCGCGTATGAAGAAAAATTGAAAAGTTACTAGAAACGCGCAGCTATGAATGGTAGACAACTGCAATAAGCTGCTTCTCTTGTCCTATCCAACGGATACACTACTGCGATGTACCTCTCCACATCAGTGAAGTGACAAGATTTATCGTCGAGGCAGATGGAAAGAGCAATAACAAAGTACCGGATTTACAATAAATGTAGTCGCTTTTTTTTCACCTTCAACTCGGTACACAAAAAAGAAAAATAAATATAAGCAATTTGCTATCATATCGATCATAGACTGTTGAAAACCTAAAAGATAAGTAAGAAGAATCTACGATTAATCTTGCAACTGATGAACACAATAATCATCGTCAAGTTAAAATTGCACAACTTGCCGACGACACAGTGCTGTTCGTTAATAATGACACTAGCTTAAACAAGAGTTTAAAAATTGATAGAATCATTCTGTAAAGTCACTGGAATGAAACTAAACAAAAGCAAAACAAAAGGCATGTGGCTTGGTAGATGGATGAATAGACAAGATAAGCCCTATGGTCTATGTTGGGTTACAAAAGAGCCCATTAAGTTTTTAGGAATCTACCTCGGTCATGACTAAGAATTATGCGAACAAAAAAATTGGACAGACAAAATGCTTAGCCTAGAAAGATTTCTAGACACATGGAATAAGAGAAATCTTTCTTTTCTGGGTAAAGTTTTAATAATAAAGACACTTGCTTTGTCAAAACTGATATATAATGCTAGCATTATTAAAACGCCTGAAGAAATAATTAAAAAAACTAATAAATTAATTTTTAATTTTCTATGGAGTGGT